GCCGGCGAGCGCTCCCGAGCCGCCCGTCCGCTGCCGGCTGCCAGTCCCGCCAGTGCGCTGGCCGGCGAGGGGCGGCGGGCGCGCGGGACGGGCGTGCGTACGGGAGAGGTCGGGGGAGAGCGCGTGGGCGGCGGGGAGAGGATGAGAATCCCTGGGACCCGCCACTGAGCTAGCACGAGCGGCGGGAAGGCCAGCCTCGCTGTTCCTCCGGGAGCCCAACACCGTTCCCGCGCCGCCAGGATGATCCCCCCGAGCGGCGCCCGCGAGGATGGCGTGGACGGGCTGCCCAAGGAGGCGCCGAGCGCCGAGCAGCCGCCCTCTCCAGCATCCACCAGCAGCCAGGAATCCAAGGTACCGCGCACACTTGCCCCAAGAAAACACGAACTCACTCTCCTCCTGTCCTTCTCTCGGTCCACCTTCGTTTCCCCCGACCTGGCGCGGAGGCTGGCGGGAGACGTGCCCCTATTGGGACCCGGGCTCCCCTGAGACTTGAATGTCGGGCAGGACTCGCTGTAACGCTGCTGGACCACGTCGCGTGGACCCAGCCTCCTGCCCACGCAGACCCGAGGCTGCGCTGGCTTCTCCCCTCAAGCACACGCCGGTTAGTGCGCACTGACTCCGGGCTCAGAGACCGCTTTCCTGGGTGGTTGGTGGCTTGGTGGTTCTGTGCTTTCAGCCTGCTGGTGCCCACAGCACGTGTAGGTGTCAGCTGCTTCTGAAAGATGATAGCGAGGGTTACACCTCCAGAAAAGCTAGGGCGCTTGCGGCCAGTAAAGGGTTGTCTGTGTCACAGGGGTCCCCGAGACTCTGCTTAATTTAAGGACTCACTCCTAACTTCAGAAAAGCTAAGCAAAGGGGAAAGCCGCATTCGTGGGAAAGTTGAGGTTCCTCTTGTGGAAGTTAACACTTGGAGAACTTACACTTGCTTTTATGAGTTACACTAACACACGCACAAAGCCAGCCCCGCAGCACTTCTGCCACGGTTCCACTTCCTCTGAGACTCCCCTGGGGGCCGGGCACAGGTTTGGAAATCTTGAAAGAGGATCGAGTAAAATGCCCTGCTAGCAGTGACATGCCAAATGGCATCTTAGCCTGGGGTGAAAATCATAAAATGGAGTTTGTGGTGATATGGATTTCTTTAAGTGCAGGGCTCCTGGCTATTTATACAGATCTCCTTGTGAATTCCCCAGGCATCTTTGGAATGCTGGGCAGTTCCTGTATAGGACTGAAGGGAAGGTGGATGCCAGTTTGGAGAACAGGGCAGATGGGGCAAAGAAAAGTCCCATCCCTCTCTCCCTTTAGGTACATCTCTAAAAGCCATTAACAAATCAGCAGGATCAAAATCACAGCCAAGTGGCTCTTGGTTTAAGTGATGCTGGGCACTATACACATCTCAGCCTCTGGAAGTTAACCATCAAAGAGAGCTTTGCATTATCTTTATTTTGTCTTTTTTTCCCCCCGATAAATGTCTGATCTGGGGCATGTGTGTGTCAACTTTTCTAAAACTCGGTTGGAAATGGGGGCAAAAGCCCCTCCTTCCAGAGTCGCTGTGAAGAATACATAAAATGACCCAGTGCAGTGTAAGGACTCTATGTTTATCCCTTTCCTTTCTGAGATCAAGGGGATCCACCCCACCACAGGTGATCCACTCCAACGCTGTTTCATAACCTGCACACACATACGACCTCTCCTCTGACTGGAAGTTTCTGGGCGTCTCATCATTGTCTCTCATCGACCATCAGCTACCTAAGGCGTATGGGTTAGTGGCCATTTTGAAGATGATCTTGTAGATTGTAAATGAGCGCAGCAAAACTCAAGAGTGAAACTGGTACTAAACTTTTTGAATTGGGCCTGTTGCTCTGCAGTAGGTGTGTTCTGGAAAGGGCTTAGCATTTGCGTATACAGTGGCATGATTTAAACACACTATATGGGTTTGCTATTTATAGATATCCTGATGCAAATTCTTTGGCAGAGCAAAAACTACATATGTAATACCCATAATTATCCACTGATTTATCTGACTATGCTTTCAAATTTGTACATGCCAATTTTTCTCAAAGTGGTCTACGCACCTGAAATGTGTGTGTATGTTCTGAAATTTGTCATGGCTTAGGTGTTCTTAATCAGTGGAGATGGCCTGGGGCGGGGAGGGGATGGGCCATGACCCCAGGAAATTGAATGCAAAATAGTGTGCCCGAATGTCAGTTTTTATGGTGTAGCATTGGTGATGTTCTCATAGGGGTCCAAGCTCTCAAAAAAGCTCAGCTCCTGGTATGGAGGATATATGTAGTAAGGGGGCGGGAGGGCATGAAACAGAAGTCTCTATTTATTCTATACTAGGAGTGCCAGATTTGAAAGCTCACTGCCGTTTATAGGGATCTTCCACCCTGAAGATGAGAGCATAGTAAGGAAAGTATGAACAAGGTAATAGTAGTCATTCCACCTTACTCCTCTCAAGCGGTCTATTTGTGAACTTGGTACAACATGGGTTAGGCCTCTCTGGGCATTAAACTTCCGCAAGAAAGACTTTTAAAATTGCCTTCTAAAAGACTTTTGTTCTCTGATTATAAGGGTAACAAAATACTCTTTGTAGAAATTTGAAAAGCCCAGACAAAAATAAAGGGGGGGAAAAAATGACACATTGGCTCACAATCCAGCGGCAACTACTGATAACATTGTGATCTATATCGTACATCTTTTTTATAAGATCCATTTTTATATTTACACAGTTGAAAGAACTCTGGTTAGCATCTACTGAATGTGCGCTGCATGTCAGGTACAACTTGATTCTTCACAATAACCCTCTGAGGGAGATTGCCTGTTTCTTTGATTTTATAAATAAGGAAGCGGAAGCTCAGAAAGGTTGCGTGACTTGGCCAAGATCACATAGCCAGCTGGACGACACAGCCAGGACAGAGCCCTGGGCAGCAGAGCTCTGGAGCCCCGCCCTCCACCACAACTATGTGTCATGCTTGTATATTGTTTCACTTTCCCTGGTTCCCCTAACATCCTAAGCACATATTTCACACGCCGCTCAAAGTCATTTACAGCAGTATTTTGGTCTTCTCTTAAGAAATCTTTGAAAACGAATTGAGCCACGTGTGAAATGATTAGATCAATTTTTGTCTAGCTTCTCTGTGTTTGGTTTTGCTACTCTTCCTCCAAAAATATACTTACGGAGATAATTAAATGTAATGTCACAGAAATATCTGGAAAAGGAGGCCACAATAAACCCTTTAGTGCAGAGTCCATTAGGAGAGGAGTAGGATGGTTCAGTGCCCTGAGCCCATAGCATGTTCCTGGAAGTCCATTTCCTTTGCAGATTCTTTGGAATGCTACATCATAGATTATTGGAGTTGGAAACATTAGAGATCATCTACTTGGAGTATTTTTTAAATTATAGATAATTTTTATTGTGTAAATTTGTTTTAGTATGGAAAATTTCAACAGACACAAAAGTAGAGAAAACAGTATAAAGAATAGTCATGGAACTAATCACCTGGCTTCCCCAATGACAAATTCATGGATGATCTTGTGTCACCTGTTGTCCCCCCTACCACCACCATCCCTCCCCAAATACACTGGGTCATTTGAAAGCAAATTTCAGGTTTCAATTCATTTCATCCATAAATATTTCAGGTTGTATCTCTAAAAGATAAGGGCTTTTTGGCGAGCATGACCACAGTTCCATTATCACATACGCCAGGAGTTTTCAGTCAAGGGTTGGTATGTTCTTTGGGGGTCCACGAACAATCTTTGGAAGATCCATGAACAACCAGAATCCGCATTCAGAATTGTGCAGTTACGTGCAGAGTTGCATCACCTGGGAAAGGATCCATAGCTTGTATCAGATCAGTAAAGTATCTATAGCCCTCAAAGTTTATTGAAATGGCTTCTGTTTTCTCTCTTGAAATCAAAGCCAAGAGAGAGGCAACGACTTGCCTAAAATCACACAGATTGTTAACGGCAGGACTTCTGTTTAAGAAAGCTCTCTTGGACCTTGGATACCCCAGGACAATTTCCTCAGGGCATATTCCTGTAAACCGAAGTAGTAATGTAGTTTATGTGGTTTTCTTTTTCATAAAATTAGTTGAATTGAAAGAATGTGAAAGCCACCCCTCTATCTTTCTACTAACTATTCCAGAAAGACCACAACCTCATTTGTCTAAATGCTAACAGAGACTATTGAATACTAAGAAAAATGTCATGTTTCAGCACCCCTTATTTCAATGAATATCCCTTCTCCTACTGACTTGCTGACAACATGAACTCTTACTAGGGTCTAATATGAAGGTTTTGTGTGGATGCCCTTTGACATCATTTACATGACCCAAGGTTACATTTTGATGCCATGGAGAGATTATAGGTTTCGAGGTCAAACAGACAAGACTTGAGACCTTTTCTTATCAGTTGCCCTGTGACTCTGGGCTAGTTGCCTAGCCCCTCTGAGCCTCAGCTTCCTAATCTCTAGAATGGCGATGCTTATACCCATCTGACATGGGTTTTTTGTAAGGCCTGTGAACTAATATGTTATAAGCATGTATAAGCACGTAACATTATTTACTTTCTCTTCCTGCTTCACATTAGATGACTTCTATCCCTAGCCAACCCCAATTGTCATCCTTAGAATCATTTCAGTAACAAAAACTGATGTTCCAATAGTACTTACTCCCTTTAGATTTTACTTATGCTGTTGAGTGCAGTTTTCATCTTAGCTGTTTTGCATCCCCAGGAAGATAAGCCATTGACTCACCAGCCTGTGGCTTCATTTTGGAAGGGTGATGTAAGCTACCCAGTGGCCCATAAGAGCCATGGACCAAGGAGTCCCCTCATTCCATGGTTCTCTCTGAATCTGGACTACCATCCAAGCTAGGGAGAAGAAATCTCTTAACCATAAGGATGTGCCCAGCATCTTCCAGAAAGGTGTGTGTCCGCCAATAAGCAACTGTTTATTGAGTGCCTACTTTGTGCCCAGCGCATCTCATACATATATGGGAAGCTATTATTGATAAGGAATTTAACTTCTACTCAGGGGAGAAGATGAAAGAAAATGGAACCTTGGCTTTGCATTCAGATCCCTTAGGGAGTCCAGTCCGTCAGTTAGACTACTAAATGGGAATCTCTTAATGAGGGTCCCAAACATCAGTATTATTTTAGAGCTTCCCCAATGATTTCATTGTGCAGCCAAGTTTGAGAAACACTGATTTAGACTATTAGAATTGTAGACTGTCAAAGAAATTAAATAGAGAATAAGAATTGAGTAAGAATTGTAGACTGTCAAGATCCTCTTCTTTCTAACCACAGTACCTGAAGGAATCATTTGTAATTAGTCTCTCTTCTTTCCCTTCCCA